CATACACAGACGAAGAAGAAGGGGGTTCGACGAAGAGGAGGGGAAGATGGGAATGTCGTCAACACCAAGTCTTTGCACAGGCCCAAATAGTCCCTCGTCAAAATGTCTGAATCCCAAATGTCAAGTCTGGATCCAATGTCGTCAAGTCTCAAGTCACAACTCTGTCTCTCTCTGTCGTAGTCTGAGAAGTCAGGTGGTGAGAGGGTGAGAAGAGATGGTGGACTTAGAAGAGGAAGAAGAAAAACTCTCTCTCTCCCTCTGTGTCCAGTACTAACCTGTGAAGTTGGCGCCTTGATGCAGGTACCTTGAAGATGGCGCTGGAGCGATGGCACCACAGGTAAGTACCACTGGCCTCCGCCAGTATCTCTCCACACTCTACGATCTACCACCTACCAGTGCCCAGCGCTGAAGACTACTCTATGGCTATGGCGCCCAGCGCCGAGGACTACAGCTAACGCTGAAGACTACTGGAGCACTCCTCCTGAGTGCTGCGGCCGAATCCTGAAGACTACTCGTCCTACTGACCACTACCTACCCTGGAAGTGCATGGGAACTGCCTATGTACTACCGGGTGCCTCCTGACTGCAGGCGAGCAGTCCAGGAGGCTGCTCTTGCCAATGCCGATCGGAGGCAGGGGCTGCCGCTGCAGCTCCTGCTCAAGCTCGTGAGGAACAGGCTATTTCTGGCCTGTTCCGAAACCCTGTATTCATGCCTGAGTCTTAGGGGCGGTCGAAACAATGAGGGCCTGAAAAAGGCCCTCCGTTTCAGGCTGGAAAAACTCTGGGCCTGAAAGGCCCAGAAATAGGCTGAAACGGAATAGGGCCTGCAGGCCCTCGTATTTCAGCTTTCAGGCTGAAACGACCGGGGCCTGTAAGCCCTACTTTTAGGCTTTTAGGCTGAAAGTCCGGGACGGGCCCTGCAGGGCCCGTGTGGGTACGCAGTATGCCACACCCCCCCCTCTTTGAAAGACCGAGCTTACCTACGAGGGCGAAGCTGTCTGTCTGAGGGAGGGACCACAGTCCGGGTGGGAGGGGCAGGTCGTGGGGGTCCCTTGGCTAACCTTTGACGCTCGTAGTGAGCGTAGATCAGCGGTGCGGATGCTTTCAAATCTGCTCCTGAAATCCACCGAGTGTCGTCGGGATCGCATGCTCTGAATGTAACTTTGTACTGTCGCGGCTTGCTGTCATACTTGCGATCCGAGATGACGCGGTCAACCTCCTGATGACCATCCATAGAAGGAGGGTCCTGCGATCGTCGGCCCGGGAAGTCGTCGCTCTTAGCTGGTGTATATGTTGCCAGCTTCGAGGCGCGAAAGACTGGATGGACCGTCAGATGCTCGAGAATGTTGATCACAAATGAAGGGCCATCGGGCTCATCGCCCGCGGCTGCTGTCACAGACCAAGGTCCAAACCACTTGGGAAGCAGTTTGTGTGAAACATCCTGTTCCAGTGCAAACTCTCCCGCGGAGACCCAAACCAGATCACCGGCGCGGATGGGACATGGCACGAGACGCTTGTTGGCTTGCTGCTACATGCGGACTTGAGCCTTTTGCATGCTCGCGCGGGCTTGAGTCAGCAATTCCTTGTACTTCCGGACGGAAGCGGGAGAGCAGGCAGCGTCAATGTCGGCTGGTCGAGGGAGGAGAAGGTCGGCGAAGATACGGCCTTTCCGTCCACCGTGGTGCAACTCGAATGGAGTCACGCCGATCGCCGGATGCACCAAAAGTGTTGTAGGCGAACTCAATGTTGGGGAGGCGGTCAACCCAATCTTTCTGGTCCGGACGGATGAGCGTACGAAGCATTATTTGAGCGGTTTGATGTGCCCGCTCCGTTAACCCATCCGTCTGTGGATGCCGAGCCGAACTTGGTTTCATCTTCGTGCCGGACTCCTGCATGAGAGCAGTCCAAAATGCCGACATGAAGCGGGTGTCGCGGTCGCTGACTATGTCTTCTGGTACACCGTGGCCACAAATCCAACCGGTGTGCAGGAGGCGTGCCAGCTCGGGAGCCGTGGAGTAGTACTTGCAAGGAAGAAAACGCGCGTACTTACTCAATCGGTCCACAACCGTGAGGATGCCGGTCGCGAGGGAACGGACCGGTGACGTCCATGGCAATGGAGAGCCCGGGTTCCCGTGGGATAGGCATCGGATGTAACTCGCCGTAGGGATTGCGGTTGCGGGGCTTGCTGCGTCGGCAAACTTCGCAAGAGTCGCAATACCGAGTGACATCGGTAATGAGATCGGGCCATCGGAATCGCTGTCGAAGCCGTGCAATAGTGCGGTTGACTCCGAAATGGCCGGCGAGTCGTGAATCATGATACTCGCCGAGGAGGCGAGTCCGTAGACGGCGGTCGCGTGGGACACATAGTAAGTCCTTGCCTCTCGAGTGGAGGAGCAAGTACCCGTCGGCAATGCGATAGTGGCTGGCCGGCGGGTGATCCGAAGATAGTTGTGCATACAGCGTGGAGAGGTCCGGATCAGACTGATATGCCCGGATGAATTGTCGCTGAAGCTCCTCGTCGAATGCATGATGTGTCATAGCGCAAAGATCGGGTCTTCGCGAGAGTGCATCTGCTGAGCGATTGGAGAGGCCGGGAAGATGTTTCGGTGTGAAGTCAAGTTGGTCGATGAAGTACATCCATCGTCCGATCGTGCTGCTCACCGTATCCTGCGTCTTGTAGTAGGTCAATGGATTGTTGTCCGTAACCCATGTGAACCTACGACGCCCAAGGAGGAAGTGTCGCCGTCGCTTGAGAGCCATGACGAATGCGAGCAGCTCCTTCCTTGCATCATCAAGCGAGTTGATGGGAGGCACTTTGTGGCTGAAATACTCCACAGGGTGCCAGTCGTCGACGTCGTGCTGTTCCAAGACTGCCCCAATGCCATATCCGGAAGCGTCCGTAGTCACTCTCGTAGCCAGGACGGGGTCATATATGCTAAGGACGGGTGCCATGAGCATGGCTGTCTTGAGTGCTTGGAATGACCGGCGCGCGTCATCATCGAATACGAATGGCACCTTTGGCGACTGTAACCTCGTCATAGGTGCAGCAATCCTGGAGTATCCGGTGATGAATCGCTGATAGTAGCCCGCCAACCCCATGAATGAATGAACGTCCGTGGTGTTGGTGGGTTCGGGCCATTCTCGTAGGGCCTCAATCTTGTCGGCAAGCGGACGGATGCCTTTCGGCATCACATAGTGTCCCAAGTACTCCAGCTCCTGCCGCACGAATTCTCACTTATCGCGGTTGGCTTTGTACTTGGCTTGACGTAGCCGCTCTAAAACGGTACGCAGGTGTTCCACATGCTCCTCCAAACTTCGGCTGTACACAAAGATGTCGTCGAGGTAGATAAGTACGTATCGATCCAGCATGTGTCGGAACTCCATTGTCATAGCCGCTTGGAAAGTGGTCGGGGCATTCGTAAGGCCAAATGGCATAACCAACCATTCGAAATGCCCATATCGCGTCTTAAACGCGGTCTTGTAGCGATCCTCTTGCCGGATCTCGAGTTGGTGATATCCGAGTTGGTGATATCCCGACTTGAGATCGAGCTTGGAGAAGAACTTGGCGCCGCCCAGTCGCTCGAGAAGATCATCGATGCGTGGGAGAGGGTCGGCGTTTTTGATCGTCTGCGCGTTGAGCTTGCGATAATCGATGCACAACCGCAAATCCTTGTTCTTCTTCTGGATGAAGAGAACAGGAGCACCGTATTGCGATGAGCTAGGCCGAATCCAGCCTTTCTCCGGAAGGTTGTCGAGTTGTGCCCGGAGCACACTCGACTCTTCCTCGCTCATTCGGTAGATGCAACCGCGTGGAGGTACGGCCCCGTCCTCGAGGATGATCTCGTGGCGGATGGGCCGATCCAGTACTACTCTGTGCGGGCCTTCGAACACGTTGCTGTAGGCGTCGAGAAACTCGGTGATGCGTGGATCCGAAGAAGAGTCCGTCGATGAAGCGTCATGGGGCGGGAGGGCGTGGAGAAAACACACCCCCATCTCCTCGATGTCGTCTCTGATGATGGAAGCTCGCATGCTTGCGGCGGATACCACGTGACGGCTGACTGAAGGGTGAGGAGGAACTACCGTGCATGGGACTAGTACTCCGTTCCGATCACGAACGTGAAGGATGCGGCGGTAGAAGTTCACCGGGKGGTCCTCGCTTCGCAGCCATGACATGCCCAAGATCATGTCGAATTTGGTGTCCCGAATGTCAAAGGACACCGCCTCACTTGCGTGAGGGGCAAAGTACACTGGGACGTCATCAATGCACCGGTCGATTGACTTGTGCGTGTGACCGTCCGCCAACGTGACTTGCGTGGGCTAGGACTTCCTTCGGACTCGTGGGCCAAGGCCGGCGCGTACCATGAAGTCCTGACTCATTTAGTTGCGAGATGCTCCGCAATCAATCAAAGCGCTTCAGGTCGCCTCTCCGATCTGAATGCGTACATATAGCAATGGTGCGTCGATGTCGTCGTACTGTTGCGTCTTGAACTCGCGGCCGATCTTCGCAATGTAGGCGTGAAGGTCGACAACCTCTACTCCGGCGTCCATCAACGGAGTCGGTACTGCAGTGTGCAAGTAATCCCGCAATTATGCTTTGAGCACGTTGCAATTTGGTTTCGGCAATCGACCGGACCGGGGCAGGGGCATCCATTGGAAGTCCTCAAAAGTCAACGGGTCGAGTTCTTCAAGACTTGACCATGACGTTGAATCCCCGGCGGTAGATGAAGGCGAAGCTGCCGAATCGGTTGCCGATGGTGATGAAACTGTGCATGCGGTAGATTGTTGCACGTGTAGCGGTTGGTCCAGGGGTGGATGTTGGAGTGGCTGCTGGGTCTTCTCCACTGTCCGATTGGACTGGAGCGAACTGCTGCTGTCGCAGACCAGTTCTTACCTTCTCCACATAGGTTGCCTGCCACGTGGACTTCTCGTGTGCAGCCGCCCTATTGGTCTTGATAATCTCTCTTGCCTTGTCGATGATTTCGACGAAAGATGCATACTGCTCGCGATCACCAAGTGCCTGGCTCAGCGCAGCGCATGACCTGTTATAGGACTCACGGCGTAGATGCGTGAATGGTAAGTCCAGATCGGGCACTGCCGCGATCTTCTGCCATTCCGTGAGCCAGTCACGTGTTGTTGTGTTGCCCTGTGACATGGTGAAAAGACGGTTGATGGCGAGTGTCGGCGCGTCGTCGACGATGAACCGTTTCTTCCACAGTCGTGTCAGTTCCTCCCATGTGATCTTGTCCTTCAAGTTTGGTACGTCAACGCTATGAGAGGTTGTCAGGTGGGTCAACCAGGTCTGGCATCCGCCCTTTGAGTTCATGAAGTTGGCGGCTAGAGGGTGCACTGTTGGAGGCACCAGCATCTGGTCCTGGTACAGCCTGTTCCAGGTCCAGTACACGGGAACTGAGTGCCCGTGTAGCATCCTCGTGGCTCTGCACCATCCGGCGGAGGTTCACCAACTCTTGGTGTTGTGTCTTCAGATCCTGGTACTGTTGCTGCAGTTCCTGGTTCTGTTTCTCTAACTCGGTTCTCAACAACCGTGTCACAAGTTTGGAGAGGAACTCCTTATGTTGCTCTTCCGGTGTTGCCTTGTCGCCGTTCGGTTCGATGTTGTTGGCTTCATGCCGCTGCAGCAGATCCTGGGCTTCCTTGCGGCGAGCCTGGGCATCTGCGTCTGATTCGGCCTGTAGCCGAAGCTTCTCTGCTGTTGCCGTTTCTTCAGCCTGTAGCTGGGCAGCCTTGGCTGCCAGCTGGCGTTGTTCCTCAGCCTCGATTAAAGCGAGTTGAGCCTGGAAGCGCTTTTTGTAGTCGGCAATGGGCTCATTGGCCAGTTGGCCTGGCAGGCCCGTCATGTTGCTGACGTGGCACTGCTCACGTGGCACTGTGTCTGACGTGGCACTGCTTACGTGGCACTGTGTCTAACATGGCACTGCTGACATGGCACTGTTGACGTGGCCTGCTAACGTGTCACTGTAGCTGTGGCACTGTTGACGTGTCATTGTAGTTGACGTGTCACTGTATCTGACGTGTCACTGTGTCTGACGTGTCACTGTGTCTGACGTGTCACTATATCTGACGTGGCACTGCTGATGTGTCACTGTAGCTGAAGTGTCACTGTGTCTGACGTGGCACTGTTGACGTGTCACTGTAGCTGACGTGTCACTGTGTCTGACGTGGCACTGTACTAACCCGGGAATGCATGCAAAGGGTGGGTGGGAGGGAAAACGTAGGTAGGAAACCAACCCAACAATACTTTCCTCAGGCCCTAATCAACAGATAAAAGCAATAAAAAAATAAAAGAGGACTACTTCCTTTTTTTTTTTTGTATATTTGTCGATCTATTATGAGTAGTACATGTCAGAAGAGCTGGTTCCGCAAGGTTTCGGCTTTTACAAACTGCGATCTTGAAAAAAAAAATTGCGAAATGGAGTAAAGATGCGATTTTCAGAAAAGAACGAAATCCAGTTTCTGAGAATATGGCAACCTCCGAATATGCCTAACGCAATATTGGTAGGCTTCGTAAGATTTCGGTTTTCAAAAAAATTTTGCGAGATAGAATGGAAATTCGATTTTCAGAAAAGAATACTCCAGTTTCCGAGAATATGACCACTTCTATCGTTATCCCAATATGCCTAGAGGACGAAGTACTAACTTCAGAAATTTCAGCTATGTATGGGAAATATCAGAGAAACGAAAAGCTACCATCGGGAATTTTCAGACAAAACGAAATGCGATTTATCAGAAATTTTCAGATATTTGTTACGTAAAAACGAACTACTAATATCAGAAATTTTCAGGTAAAACGAAATGCGAATATCAGAAATTTTCAGATAGTTGTTGCGAGAAAAAAAAAAAAATTCAGAGATTTGACGAAGTCCTACTTGATTTACCAACGAGTAATCAATAGATCAAGCAAGCTGGCTATTTGATTGAGCGGGTCCTCTGAATGAGAGGTCCGCTCCGATACCAAACTGTTGCATACTGTA